GTTTTTTTTTTTTTTTTTTTTTTTTTTTTTTTTAAGAAATACCTTGGCAAATCTAAATAAATATATTTATCCATATTTCTATGGATTAATATATAATAAAATATTTCTAAGGAGAGTTATTAAAAGTTGAGATTAAAAATTATAGATTTAAAATGAATTGTAAGTAACGCGCTTCTCCGTATTTAATTAATTTATTCAAATAAACGGTTCTATTTTTAATCTTAATAGAATTATAGATTATTTATTATAATATTTTATATATTATAAATTTACACTCTAAAATATAATACATATAAAGGAATTACAAAAAAATGCATATCGAAAAGAATTTATGTCTTGAATAATTAAAAAATGGAAGTTGTGCAATTGTAGCACATTAAATTATTTTAAACAAAAATGAAATCATTTTACACAAAATAGGATCTTCTAATAAGGTATTTTCTTTGCTTCCAAGTGGTCCTTCGGAGTATTCCTATGGGAATTGGCGACACTGGGTCAACAGCCGTACGTAGAAGTAGACCCGTTCGAGATGATGGCGTGTCTCCGAGACGGATATCGGCTCGCTCAACCGAGACCTTGTCCCGATGAGCTCTTCGCCTGTATGGAAGCCTGCTGGCTCAGTCCCCCCAGGGATCGACCAACCATGCCGCAGCTGCTCGCCTATTTGCAAGATTTCCACGATGCGCTGGGTGGATTTATTTAAATCGTCTGTCTGCGAACTGACCTGACCTCGTTCGAAGAATGACAGCGCGTCGTCGTTGATCAAATTTATCGATTGCACACAGCTGATTAAAATCCTTTGAAATCGTATCGTTAATTGCGAATGATCGGATGGAAAAAAAAAACTATTGCGGTCCACCGAAATGTCCATTTCATAACGCCGAAAGTAACGTCCAAATAAGTTCGCAATCAAATCGAAAATTCGAAGAATAAAATCAAAGTCGCATGGAATTGAATGTCGCTGCCCATTTGCGACACACTATCCTTATCAATAAGTATATCCGGTGCAATTTAAACTGTTATGATGCGTACTGATAATTATATTCACTGATAATCCTATACTTATTACAGTTGATCATGAATCAAAGTAGAATATCGTCGTCCTTTAATTGGCAAAAGGAGTCGTATGAAAATCGACACGGACATATCCGTCCATAGTAGTTAAAGCGCATGTACATGAACTTTTAAATCCCGTATTTGAGCGATTCATTCAAAAAGCCAATTAATATCATGTGGAAGAGCCTTACCTTCGATATTCACAAATTGCGGAAACAAGTCTTTTTTCCTTAGCTCCTGAGCTGAAGAAACAAATTTTACAAACTATCAATTTATAGTGAAGTAATGAAGAAATTGAAGAAGTTAAATGTGCGCGATAAAAAGAAGCCGTCAAATATTTAGGTGGTTTTATATACACGACTTATTCAAATTAATACTTATTATATGGATTAAGAAATCACATGTATACACATAACAAACACGTAGCCAATTTCTGTGGAGATGTTCCATAAGGTAATTTGCCAACAATGGTGATTGTTTCTAACGTATCCTCCTTTCAAGAAAACTTCATTACACTTACTTAGCAAAATTCATTTGAAAATGTATTTTACAAAGACCTTATAATTCGCAAATGCGGCTTTTACTTGCGTCAGCTATACAGTCTGGGTGTAAAATGCGCCTGTGGCACGGCTATTCTTTATCCTTTCGACGCTGTTATAATACAGGATTCAGGCGACTGAATAGAAATTCTGCCGCTCCTTTCATCTGTATTAATTAACGTCTGTAAACAGATCGCTGTCTTAACGCATATCAATTTTGAATTATTTAATTTAACTTAATAAATGAAAGAAAGGATTTGCATTCAGCTCAATATATATATATATATACACAACATATATGTGGCAGCTTCTTGGCTTCTTTAGTGAAAATTTCACGAGAATTGAGATGAGAGAAATGGCGTGCCAGTTGAGACAAAATAAATTTATAAAATCATTATAAGGAAATGCATATTGCAAGAGTATACGCTTTTTAAATTCGTGTTAATGTATATCTAGGAAACAAAATATGTGGGAGCGAAAGTAAAATATAAAAGATCGATAAATCTTTTTTAAGCATTTGCGCTATGGGAAAATCGTGTGTTTGATATTAAAGTATTATAAAATATTACAGATCAAAATTCTTACGTGGAAAATTCTAATATCCTCTAACGGCGGGATAATTTTATTCCGGAGAGTATGACAATATTAATATACTAATAACATTATGTAACGTGTTGATATACACGTACATGTACACGCATTCGTTACATAAGACGGCTGTAAACGTGCAAGATCGGTTAATTAGGTCAGACTGTTTCATTCATTCCGCTTTACGAGCGTTTGCGCCACAATCAGGCTTGCATGTTTTTCCTTCAAATCACGCAAGTTTTCCGCTACGAAAATTGTTTCGACAAACGTCACATAAACCGTGCAAGAAAGGCTCACGCGTGCACACGACTCGATCAAGCCGCTCGATCATTTATTCATTAACAATCGCGATTGCGCAACTTCGAATAATCGTGACCGGAACGACGGAGAGTGCAAAAGCAAAGCTCCGAACACTTGAGAGTTCCATTGTTGTGTACATGATCTTCGATGAACATGCTCTGTTCCGTAAATGGGCGGTCGAACTATACATACTTTGTAGTTAGGTATCTATTAGTTACACTGCGAAAAGCCATTTCGAATTCCTGTTGACTCGCGCCGACAACAAGCTCGAATCTTGCAAAATCGATGCTGGATCTTAATGTCAGGTCTCGGGAAAATGGCCCCGCGCACAAAATTATCTCAATTCCTACCTCGACGCTCGAACCTTTCGATTGCACCGCCAACTCGCAATGATCTCTCGTTTTGACAAAGTCCTATGACGTGTTAAGTAATCGAACAATAATATTGATCGAAAGTAAAAGCAGAAGTGATTAGTCGATAGGATTTTATTTGTCGAAGAAAAACACTATGGTTCCAGAACATCTTTTATTATCATCATTATTGACATCTGTCTATAAATAGCATTGCAAATGTATGCTGACATAACTAACTTTTATATACAATAATAGATATTGATTAAAGCTACATATTCACTGAAATTATTTATACATTTTATTCAGTATGCAAAAAAATATACATATATCTATATTTTATATTTTAAATTGTTAAATGGAAATCACATTGCTAAAAGTTAATTTATATCTTTTGAATTGATTAAGAAAGATTTCATCATATTAATATTAAATCGATATTTAACATTTCTCTATCGATTTTTGCAAGATGTTATTTTATTGTTTGTTGTAAATAAAATTACCACAGATGTCAGCGAACACGGTGAAAGGTTTCGCCGTGACATTTCCATCGTAGAAAGACATTACCGAGGGAAATGGAGTTAGAACCTGCTAACTGACTGCTTCTCGGTAAAAGATATAATTAACACATTTACTTTTATGGTATAAAGAAATAAGAATTTTAATATTAATTGTTTTTTTTTAAATTTTATTTACACTATATAAAGCTGTATACCAAAATACTATTTTTACTGCCAAAGTTGTAATGTGCAAGGTGAATCTTTCTGCTATACCGTTGTTGCAGTAAAATATTATTATACGAGTATATGTGGACAAAGCGCATTATACGTAATTGTATTAGTTCAATTGCGCTTATTCCATATCTTTTCTGTTGCAAGCGCAATTGCGCAAGTATCTAACAGCTAAACTAGTAAGGCGTACGAACGACACGAGGGACTAGAAAACACGTTTATCGATGTATTAAACATGCAATACTGATCTCACAGGATAAAATTAAACTGTACAGGAGAGTCACATTGCAGCATGTGTACTAGGATATCCTAGATTCACCTTTCCTTTTAATGGCAGATACTTTTATGGCTAGATAAGAGAATGCGACGTTAATTAATATCAAACGTCAAGTTTCCATTTCTTTTTAATATTAAATATTTCTTTCATTAATTTTGAATTTCTAGCAAATAAATTTTGAAACCGGAGTTTTATTACCTATTTACATTTCTGAAGTTTATAGTTCTGTTAAAAGGCAAAACAATAGATATTTTTTTATATTATGATAAAACTTTAATGACTATTAAATAATTTGCATTAAGTATGGAAGCAAACATTTTTTAATTGCTTGCTGGGATTGTTCGTTGAGAGAAAATATGATAGTTACAAAGTAATTCGTACAAAATAACCGATGTAATTATTAGCTAAATTTGAAAACATATAAAAAAGTAGTATATACCAATGTGTTTAGAAATACAAAAAGGGACATTATATAATAGAAATGATTATTTTATAAGTAGAAGCGTTGGAGACATTTTAAGGTCAATTTTATTTTTTGAAATATAATTATACGAATTTTTTTACATAACATATGATTCCTCCAATTATTTTGCATATAAAACTGTTGAGGTGGAGATATTAAAAAAGCATTAATTTACGAGATATGTTATACTTTATTCTGACGCGTATTAGTATAAAAAACTCGCAAATAACTTGTAAATTATATTAATTTTTGATAACCATAATACTTTTATGAACAGAATAAAGAGACGAATTATTTGATAAAGAAAATACATGCTATAAAAAAATATGTGAGCAAAATGGATTATTTTTTAAATAAACAACTATGTGTTTTCTTTACACCAATTCATTCATTTCATTATTCTGTTTATAAGAGTATTAAAATATAATTATCAAGAAATTAGTAGTTTACTATTTTATGTTATTTAATATTTTACTAATAAATTTCATTCGTTTTTTTGCAGTGTAAATTACAATAAGAACTATATTAAATCCATTTAGCTCGATATAGACTATTATATATATATATTTATTGTAATTAATATTTTAATTAACATTTATTTAACATTTTATGTTAATATGTGCCAGTATAATATATCTCGTAAACTGTTGATTTTTTGATACCTTAATACTTTATATGCAAAATAATTAAAGAAATTATATTGTGTGAGAAAGAATTCGTGTAATTCTATTTTATAAAATGAAGTTGATCTTAAAATGCCTCCATCTATAAAATAATTGTTTCCACTATATGATATTCCCATTGTAATAAACACATTGACAAATTACGTTAAATTTTCATATATATCTTCAAATTTTACTAATAATTAAATCAATCACTTTACACAAATCATCCTGTATTCGTAAACTCGCGATGTTCTGCATTCATGAAAGTAAATTTATTCATGTTTCTTTAGTTTATATCCGGCTTTAACTGGCGAGTAACAGGTGCAAATCGAACGAGCGAAGATTACACATTTGCGGCGCGAGGCATACGTTAGACACTTTTAAATGTACTCGATGTGTACTAAATGTCGCATGTTCCTGACCACGACCAGAAACTTTATCGCACTCGTCTTTTACTCGTCGTTTCCTGCCCCTTCCCTCTAATCTGCTCCGTCAATTTATCGCGCAAACGTTACGAGAACGATTCATGACTCGTCTCGTACTGCTGCTAAGCGCATCTATTAATTATCGATATTGCTATTTATAATAACTATCGCTCGCTACTATTTATTGCAACGCTCTAAAGTCGTGCGTTTCAAGAAATCGTCAGATTCTATGATGTATTCGTGAATGTCTTTGAATGGAGGAACAGGGTAGGCTGTAACTGCACACTTTTTCGCTATCGCTGTATAATGGAATCGCTGCTCATT